TACCTATATGAAACCTGTGTAACTCAGGAAGCTGAAACAGAAGGATCACAACTTCAAGACCAGCCTGGGCAACTTGGCAAGACCCTGTAGGGTCTCAAAATAAAATAAAAGGGCTGGAAATATAGCTCAGTGGTAGAGTGCCTCTGGGTTCTATTGCCAGTACTGAAATAAATAAATTTACTAGACTAGCTACAGTGAGAGAGATCACCACCTGGGGGGAAAATTGGTAGGGAGAACTTTTATTTCTATGTACTTGCAACAAAATACACAGACAATTGGCTAGGGATGTAGTTTATTGGTAGAGTACGTGCCTATCACATGTCCCTGGGTTCAATCCTCAGAATCACACGTTCATATATATATAACGATATATGGTTATATATGGTTTTTTATGCTGCTAATATTCTCTCTCTATATATGTGTATATGTATGTGTGTATATATATATATAGAGAGAGAATATTAGCAGCATAAAAAACAAGATTTCTTTTTTAATTGAACAATACCTTTTTAATTTTTTTTATAAATAATAAGTTTTTTACTCAGAAAAGAAAATGAGCATTTTGACATTAAATTTATAAGACCTAAGTAAACACAGGGATACACCACTAGTGTAAAGATGTCACTTCTCCTCTAGTAGTCTTTAAGTTCAATGTAATCCTACTCAATGTTCCAGTTTTCCCTTTTGGAAAGGCTCAGTGGAAATTATGTGAAAATATGGAGGATTTAGGGTAGCAAATATAATCTTGAGGAGGAAGAATAGAGTTAGAGGACATATACTGTTGTGTATCAAAATGTATTACAAAGCTACAATAATCAAAGCAGTGTGTATTTGTGCATGGACAGAAATGTAAGCTGATGGAAAAGACCAGAAAGTCCAGAAACAGACTACATATGTGGTCCACTGACTGATGACAAAAGGCCCATTGAAATGCAGTGGGGAGAGGATGGTCTTTCAATGGACAGTGCTGAATCAATTGAATAAAATGAACATTGATCCTCTACCTCACATGTTACAGAAAAATAAGTTTCACACAGGCACAGATCAAAAGATAAAATGTAAAAGCATAAAGCTTCCATAACAGAAAATACCTTTATTACCTTGAGGCGGGCAAAGATTTTTTGAAAAGGACACATGTTTTGTTTTGTTTTGTTTTTAACATACTAGATCTCATTTAAATTTAAAATGTCTATTCATTAAAAAAAAACTCCATTAAAACAGCCAAGAGATGAATGTTTCTCAACCTACCTAAATTGTGGAACCAACCTAGATGCCCTTCAGTAGATGAGTGGATAAAGAAATGGTAGAATATACACAAAGGTATACCACTCCACATTAAAAGATAATAAAATCATGGCATTTGCAGGTAAATGGATGGAGTTGGAGAATATCATGCTAAGTGAAGCAAGCCAATCCCAAAAAACCAAATGCCAAATGTTTTCTCTGATATAAGGAGGCTGATTCATAATGGGGATGAGGGGAGGAGCAAGGGAGGAATGGAAGAACTTTAGATGGGACAAAGGGGAGGGGGGAAGGAGGGAGCATGAGGGTAGGAAAGACATGGAATGAGATGGACTTCATTACCCTAGGTACATGTATGAAATGGAAAGCTCACGAATGGTGTGACTCTACTTTGTGTACAACCAGAGACGTGAAAAATTGTGCTCTATATGTGTACTATGATTTGAATCGCATTCTGCTGTCATATATAACAAATATATGAAAAAAATTTTTTTTTAATTGTTGCACCTTGATTTGTGGTCTGATATGTGGTCAGTAAGCTCATGGGTCAATACCTACTTTATAGTCATAGATGTCCATTGACTTAAGTATGTCAACTGTGCCTTTCAAACCTATATCCTGATTATTTTTTTGCTATGCTAAAATGATCAGTTACTGAATGAGATATGTTCACATCTACCACCGTGATGTTTGGTAGATTTATTTATTTTATTGTTTGCATTTCTATTAATTTGAACTCTAATTTTAAGATATATTTACATAAACACAATAGATGGATACATGTTTAAAATTGCTCTAGCTTCCTAGTGAGCTGAATCTTTTATCATTATGTATAAAATGATATTATACTGTTTATGCTATTTGCCTTTTTTATCTAATATTGATGTAGCTACAACAAATTTTTTTAGGGCTTGTGTAGAAAATCTACCCAATAGAAAGACCTGTCAACCTCTTTAAAAAAAAAAAACAGCCAAGAGAAAGCCCAAATAAGGGAAAAAATATTTATATTACATGTATCCAGTAAAGGACTTAGATCTAAAATCTGCAAAGAACCAGTAAGAAAATGACTTCCGAGGAAGAAATGAACAAAAGACTTGTGAAAGACTTTTCAAAAAGGTATTTTCACTTAGGTTCGCTGGTACATGCTTATAATTCCAGTTACTTGGGAGGTTAAGGCAGGTAGATCACAAATTCAAGTCCAGCCTGGGCAACTTAGTGAGACCCTGTCTCAAAACAAGATAAAAAGAACTGGGGATGTGGCTCAGTGGTGAACATCTCTGGTTCAATTCTCAGTACTGGCGGTGTGGCGGGGGGCAATATTCAATTGATACTATATTCAATGAACATATATTTTTTAAAAGTTCAGTATCATCAGGCATCGGGGAAATACACATTAAAATGATTGTGAAGCTGGGCATGGTGGTGCACGCCTTAATCCCAACTGCTTGGGAGGCTGAGACAGAAGGATGGTAAGTTCAAAGCCAGCCTCAACATCAGTGAGGCACTAAGCAACTCAGTGAGACCCTGTCTCTAAATAAAATACAAAATAGGGCTGGGGATGTGGCTCAGTGGTCCAGTGCCCCTGAGTTCAATCTCCAGTATCCACCCTCCCCCCTAAAAAAAGGGTTGAGGATATGGCTCAGTGGTAAAGCATTTATGAGTTCAATTCCCAGGAGTGAGCCACCATGATCGGCTAATAGGTGATGCCAGTACTCATTGTTTCCAAACACTCTCCTCTTATTCACTTCTTTTTTTAAAATGAAATTTTTTAATTTCAAAAATTTCACTGGGTGTGATGGTGCATGCCTATAACTCCAGCAATTTGGGAGGCTGATACAGGAAGATCACAGGCTGAAGCAGGAGGATCGAAAGTTCAAGGCTAGCCTCAGTAATTTAGCAAAAAATATTTTTTATTTGTCTCAAAATAAAAAAAATTAAAAAGTGTTGGGAATGTAGCTCAATGGTAAAGCAGCTCTAGGTTCAATACCAGTACCAAAAAAAAAAAAAAGTCAAACATATACAAAAGTAAAGCAAATTATATAATATATATTACCCAAATTCAAAATCATAAACTCATGGTCAATTGTGATTGACCCATACCCCATCTCACACTCTTATTACAATGTTTTGAAGCAAATACCAAACATTGCATCATTTCATCAATAATTATTTCAGTTTATAGCTTTCAAAGATATATAAGCAAGGGGCTGGGGATATAGCTCAATTGGTAGAGTGCTTGCCTCCTATGCACAAGGCCCTGGGTTCAATCCCCAGCATCACAAAAAAAAAAAAAAAACCAAAAGATATTATAGCAAAACACCATCACTGTATCTAAGCAAAATGTCTTCTTAAGGACTGTGGAATGAGACAGACATTATTACCCTATATACATGTATGAATACACTACTGGAGTGACTCTGCACCATGTACAGCCAAAGGAATGAAAAGATGTGCTCCATTTGTGTACAATATGTCAAATTGCATTACACTGTAAAATAAATACATTTTTTTTTAATTTAAAAATGCCTTCCTAATGGCCTAGCCAAAATAACATCATTATATCTTTAAAATTAACAATAACTTATTAATATCATTAAATATCCAATCAGAGCTGGGCATGGTGGCTCATGCCTATAATCCCAGCAGTTCGGGAGGCTGAGGTAGGGGGATCCCTAGTTCAAAGACAGCCTTAGTAGTGAGGTCCTAAGCAACTCATTGAGACCCTGATGAGTTTTATATTTTATTTATGAAATATTTTTAAAAGGTCTGGGGATATGGCTTGGTAGTTAATCACCCCTGTCTTCAATCCCCAGTACCCATCCTCCAAAATCCAAATCCAATCAGGGTTTAAATTCCCCACTTCTCACACATTATAGTTCATGTATTTTATTTGAATCCCAATCTAATTATCATCTATGTATTGCATTTGACTGCTGTGGACCCTAAATTTGTTTTAATTTAGAGATTCCCTCTTCCTTTTCTTCTTCATTTTTTTTTCTTTTAACTTGTTTATTAAAGAAACTAGGTCACTTTTCCAGTAGTTTCCTACAGTCTGGATTTGCTGACAGTGTCCCTGTGGTATGTCGTTTAACCTGTTGTCGGCATCCCTGTGTTTTCTGTATGCTGGTAATTGGTGGCTGGTGATGTGATCAGGTTCCAGTGTTTAGGCAGCTAGAGCAAAAGGTGGCACTGTGTTCTGTTAGCCAGCATAGAGTTGTGGCTTTCTCTTTCTTCCCACCTCTCTTGTAACCATTGATGACTGTGGTCTACACGCGTGTGATAACATAAATAGTTATTTAAAAGAATGCTGTATTGGTGGTGATATGGAGCCATCTGTAAATTGGCAAAGAGCAAAAGAATAAAAACACAAAACAAGAGGTATATTATGCTTCAATGTTTTACAATTATGTAAAAATGTTATTACACATATAAATATATGTCCTAGTAGAGGCATAGAATTTATTGATACACTTATAGAAGAAATGAGTAACAGTGATGCTTCTGGGGAAATAAATGGGGTGTTGGGAGGCAGGGATGTAAAGAAGACTTAGTTTTCACTCTGTATTTTTGTGTGCCCTTGGGGACTTTTTAAATGATGAAAACATATAATATGAAATTTGCCATTGTAATCATTTTAGATCATATAATTCAGAGGCATTAAGTTCATTCATAATGTGCAACTATCACTACTATATAGTTCCAAAACTTTTCATCAACCCAAACAGAAACCCTATACCCATAAAGCAGCCACTCCCCTATTTCCACTGTTGCCAGTCACTGATCTGTTTTATTCTCTAAGGATTTGTCTCTTCTGGATATTGCACATAAAAGGAATCATACTATATGTGGTCCTTTGTGTCTGGCCTCTTAGCTTGACAAACAGAAAGAACGGCCAGAGCCTGGAACTTGAAGTAGGATTGGCTGTGTAATTCATGAGCCCAGTTAAAATGAAGATGCAGGGCCCCTTGCCCAAAAGGCAAGAAAAAGCATTTTCCTTCCTCCAGCCATCTCTCTCTTGATTTGTCATTGTGCATTTTGTTACTTAATGCCTAAGAAAAAAATTAGAATTTTAGATTACTAGAATGAATTCACCATTCATCACATTGCACCATGCCAGTTTTACATGCAAACATAGTATTTAATTCCCTCGTGGAATCGCCAAAATGACAGTCTGTTGAGGCTTGTCCCCAGAGGGTGTCTTAAACTGACCAGAAAGAAACAAATGGGAGAAAGACTAAGGAAAGCTGGAAGGAGGAAGGCAGGATCCCCAGCCTTGGCCCTCAAGCCTGGGGCCAGCGGCAGGCGCGCTCGCTTGGCTGGAAACCCTCCGCTTGGCTGGAAACCCTCCGTGCAGGAGCAGACCCTCCACCGCCCCCGCCCCAGCCCTCAAGGCCGGGTGCGTGCTTTCGTGTTCTCGAGCGCACCCTGGCGGCGCAGGGTCTGAAGAAGTCAAGCCAAGTGTCGGCCCACGGGTCTGCAGCCCAAACCCACGACTACAGACAACCCCCAGCGGTACTGCGACCTCCGTGCCCGTGGTGCCCCGTGCCTGGATCGGGTGGGCGAAAGACCCCGCGCTGCCAGCAGAGGAAAGGGATGGCCACCACCACACCCCCGGCTCTTCTCGTGGCCACACCCGGGACTCTACTGGAGGCGGAAAATAGCAGCAGTTACCTGGCAGCAGTTGCAGGGTCAGGGACATATAAGTGCTGGGAAGCAATCCTCTGGAGGCAGCCTGAGGAGGCCGATAGTGCAAGAGCCTGGACTGCAAGCCCTGGCGCATGCTCCATTGTCCTTTGAGAATTCACTATAAAACTGAAATTCAAAGATAAAGAATTTCAAGACAATGACAGCAGAATTAAACCAAGTTACGAGAACCTTCTGGACACTGGACCCTGTGTAACTTTGCGCTCTGGTAACAACCTATGAAGCTGACATCACAAGAAAAAATAATGTCTGTCTGCAAAAATGAAAAGTGAGTCAGATATGCGAGCTGCCTGTGTGATTTTAAATTGTCTGGTACCCACATTTTTTAAAAAATGTCTTTATGATTTTTTTATTTTGTTTATTTTTATGTGGTGCTGAGGATCGAATCCAGTGCCTCACACATGCTAAGCAAGTGCTCTACCACTGAGCTGCAACCGCAGCCCCTAGCACACACATTTTTTAAAGGGGGTGTAGGGGGCTGGGGTTGTTGCTCAGTGGTAGAGCACTTGCCTAGAATGCTTAAGGCCTTGGGTTCCATCGACAGTGCTGAAAATAAATTTTAAAAACTAAAAAAGAATATTCAAATAAACAGGTGATATTAATTTTCATAAAATATTTTTACCCAATATATAAAAATGTCATTTCAATATGTGATCAATATTAAAAATTATTAAGAGACATTTGACTTTTTTCTTCCCACATCAAGTCTTCAAAATCTAGTGTGTATTTTACACTTATTTCAAGTGCTCAGTGGCCACAAGGCGGTTAGAGCTCTGGTGGTGGACAGATCAGACTTGTAGAACAAAAAATGAAAATGGGTAGCCCCGGTACTCTTTGTATAAATTCTACTTGGTGATCTAATACTGGCTGATAAAACAGAAATATCTACCAATATTTGTCAATATCAAATCTATCTCATCAATCACATCATGTAAACAAGCTATATGGCACTCCAGAATTTCTGTGAGCGATTTTGATGACTATTGCATTAACTTTCTCTCCCTTTCTTTCCCCCTCAGAACTGGGGATTGAACCCAGGGGGCTGTCTACCACTGAGCTACATCTCCAGCCATTTTTATTTATTTAATGTTTCTTTTTTTTTTTAAATTTTTCTGGTTCCAGGGAATGAACCCAGAGGTACTTAACCACAGAGACACATCCCATACCTTTTTTTGTGTTTTATTTAGAGACAGGGTTTTAGGATCTCGTTAAGGCTAAGGCTGGCTTTAATCTCACAATCCTAGTGCCTCAGCCTCTCTAGCCACTGGGATTAAGGTGTTCACCACCAGGCCTGACTATTTATTTTTAATTTTGAGACAGGATCTTGCTAAGCTGCCAAGGCTGTCTTCAAAATTGTGATCCTCCTGCTTCAGCCTCCTAAGTAGCTGGGATCACAGCCATGTATCACTGCACCTGGCTGCGTTTATATATTAATATCATTATTAAATTTAAAATATTTCTTCAAATACTATAATAGTGTCATATAGACAGTCATGAAACAGTGATTCTAATGCTAGTGCTGAAAAACACAACCCCAAATCTATAAACATAAAAAGGGGAAGTTAGATGTTTCAGTTACCATGAGGGAAGCCAAGTAACCACCCTCATGCTCCATGTCATTAATTTAATAGTGAACAGCCTGAGAAACATTGGAAAGTTCTGAGAAATAAAAGTCAACATTTAAGCAGATAGATAACACTTATAAATTTAAAAAAAAATTGCATAACCAACAAAAAGAAGGAAGAAAAAAACAAACCCAGCCACATAACCAGATACAAAACTCAAATTGCAGTTATGTACACCTGAGCTGCCTTGGTTGTGAATTTTAGTACTCTAAGAATATAAACATATATGGATATTCATATATATATGGAAATAGGAAAAACTATTGGACTACTGCTCTCAGGTTCGTTTTCCCCAGCCTTTTCAGGACTTATTTTACTGATGTACTGGCCTGCCACATAGTGGTAAGAAAAAGAAACTACAAGTCCCTTAAAAAATGTTCAATACATAGTATTTGATATATCCAAAGGAAAAAATGCAACATAAAATGAACACTTGGAAACCCATCATCCAACTTAAGGACTAGAACATTACCTAATGGTGCATCCACCTGTTTGTCCTTTTCCTGTCTCACCCTATCACCAAAAGTGCAATGCTGGATCCAGCAGGTAAAGCCCCTATTGCCCCCTACTGAAAAGACATAAATCATACTCATTGTAAATTTGCCCATTATTACAGTACAGGTGTTGAAAAGTGAATTTGCAGCTAAGAGGCACGAATTTGGTTATTGGTACATCAAGTACCTAAGTATTGGATACAGGAAAGTCAAGGTTTATGTAACCCATTGGAGGGAACAGAGGTAGCCCTTCAACTGCATCTTCAGTCTGTAGCAACCAAGTGGGTGGATCCCAAGTGCTTCTCCTGTGGCCACACTAATCTCAAGACTCCTAGGAAGCTCCCACGCAGAAGCTCAGGCTGCAGGTGATTATTTAGAAGCACACCGTGAAGCTGCAGAGAATGTTTATCTGCCTCCATGTCTGCCTGCTTATACCTTCTGGAAAAGCATACCTTCTACTTGCACACCAGACCACTCACAAGGGCCTCTTGCTTGCAGTCTCTGCAGGTGTTCCACATAGCAGAGGATTCTGGGAGATAGAGTTCCTGGCTTCTCTGCTACAGATGGGACCTCTGAAGGGGTCAGCAATAACAGGACACAATGCTGAGAGAGACAGACAGACTAATGTAGAGTCTGGGTCACTGTGGTCACTTGTGGTCACTGGCACTGAGGGAAGCTTCCCATCAGCAGCTGACAGGGGCATTTGACTTCAGGACAGGTCAGACTTTCCTTTGCTCCCAATTTCAGTCTCAGCTTCATGATCTCTTTCTTTTTTCCTTTTTGTTTGTGTGATTTTAGCGGTGGGAAGTCTAGGTGATTTCCCTTACTTCCTGTATACCCAACAATGCATTAAAAATATTCTCTCCCCAAATTCAGTTGTTTTATAAAGAAGATCTAGGGCTGGGGATATAGCTCAATCGGTAGAGTGCTTGCCTTGCATGCACAAGGCCCTTGATTCAATCCCCAGCACCACACACACAAAAAAAAATCTAGGTTTTTTTCCTCCTCCTCCTCCTCCTCCTGCTGCTACTGCTGCAGCAGTACAAGCTCTGAAAGTATTCTACCACCAAGCCACACTCCCATTCCCTAGGATAGTTTTTAAAAGATGATTCAAACTTGAACACTCCTCTAAAGCCAGAGGAATACTTTTGATCCCATAGCTTGTAACAATAACAACAACAAAAAAAACCCTGAAGAAATAAATTATTCAAGCTTATGTAGCCTTATCAAGAGGTCTTTCAGGATCTGATGAAAGCTAGGGATTTCAGAAAAAAATTATACAAGGTGAGCGTCCCTAATCCAAAAATCCCAAACCCCAAATGCTCTAAAATCTGACATGATAGCACTAATGGGAAATTCTACATTTGACTTCCATAATGGATTACAGTCAAAACATAGGTGCAATGAAAAATTTTTTGTAAAATAATCTTCAGGCTATAAAGGCATATGAAACATAAATAAATTTTGTGTTCAGTCTTGGATCTCATCCTCAAAATATCTCATTATATATTTGTAAATGTTCCAAAATCCCCCCCTCAAAAAAAAAAAAAAAAAAAAGAAACAACCTGAAATCCAAAACATTTCTGGTCCCAGACATTTTAGACAAGGGACATTTGATCTGTATGTCCTGAAAACATGCATGCAATTTTGGGTGGCTCAAAAGTCCCTGATGTCCACCATAGACCCAGTCTATGGAAAATTAAAACCTGACCAAAAAGAAATAAGGAGTCACATGCCAAATCCCAGTCCAACCTTTTTGTTGTTGTTGTTCTAATTAGTTATACCTGACAGTAGAATGCATTTGGACATATATATATATATATATATGGAGTCCAGTCCAGCTTTTATAAACAGGCCAAAATCATCAGAATTTTTCTCCCCATGCTTTTCTAAACATACTTAAAAGCATTGCTAGTTAAATGTTCACTATTCACCACTGTTAGCATGTTAGTTTTAAATTATATTATAGATATAGCAAATTTTGTTGTGTTGCATAAAAACTTTGCAGTAGAATGGATCCCTTGTATAATTAACATCTATAGAGCCTTCTTGTCTGTCTCATAAAGACTGATCATAGTTGTACTAACGTATTATTACAAGGGTTTCTACTTACAATAACTTTGCTTCTGGGATATTTCATCACTTATATCAAGACTTTAATGAGGAACAAATTCCCAACTTTCACAATGTTCTTATGAAGAAAGCAGTTTTATGCAATGGTCAGTTTTTTCAACTGTTTTCCAGGAATGCTCTGGGCAAAAAATTAGATTGCCCTTTTACTTATGTGTTTTCTGTTCTTCTAGGAAGGAACAACTTTGCAAAAGATGAGGAACCTGGGAGCCTTCTGCTAGGCAGTCTTGGACAGGCTAGTTCACATTTCCAAATTCCCATTTAATCATCTGTTAAGGAATCATGACAATATCCCTGAGCCTCAGGGGAGCACAGTGAGACATATTAGTTCAGTGTGTGCCTAATCTGGTACAGATCAACAAATGCCTGTTGACTGACAGGTAACTGAGAACTGCCTCTGGTTAATTGTCTAGCTGGTGAAAGAGATCCAGCTTTGTCTGCTGGGTCCATTAAGAATTATGACTTGCTCATTGTTCATTGGGGGATCCTGTAGCCAAACAAATGAATAGTTAATTTAAAGACAGACAACTAGGTTTTTTTTTTTTTTTTTGCTTTGGTTGGAAATTTAATTCCCAGACAATTCATACATTATGTATAGATTGCCTTGACCTGATTCTGCTTTTGGCACTCAAGATAGGGCCCAGCTCAGAAAGACCAGGAAGGACAAAAAAAAAAAGCATGAGAGATAGAAAGCGGGAGTGAATGGCCCAGTTTATAACTTCCCTCTGGAATTGCAAGAATGAGGAACCTCTAGGTCAAAGAAGTTGAACTCTCATCTTGATTCATCATCAGGACAGTATTGCTATGGTTATCCACTGTTGTAAGCCCAGAACATAACTTTTTTTTTGATTCCCACTATGAGGCAAAGCATATGAAGTTTTTAAGATGACAGGCCACTATCAGGCCTGAAGGCATACAGCTATAATCCTAACTAATCCAGAGACTGAAGTAGGAGAATCACAAGTTCAAGGCCAGGCTAGGCAATTTAGCAATACCTTACCTCTAAAAGGGGGAGAGGGTGACTGGGATGTAGCTAAATGGTAGAGCACATGCCTAGCTTGGGTGAGGCCATTGGTTCAATCCCTAGTACTGAGAAAAAAAAATCCCTAGTACTGAGTTAAAATAATACAACCATTTATTTATTTAGTACTGGAGATTGAACCCAGGGGCATTTA